TGGGGCCCGGCGGCCGCGCAGCCCCGGGGCGTCGCCAGCATTAGGTTTTCGGGGCGCAGCTCGGTCACGGCGGCCCCCCGCGCCTCCAGGAGCTCCAGGGCGGCGCTCAGCTGCAGCAGCGTGAAGGCCACAGCCCACGCGAGCTCCTCCGGCCGCCGCTGCCCCAACTCCGCCAGCCACTGGGCCGCCGTGCGTTCGGGCACCTCGCCCGCCAGCAGCGCACGCCTGTCCAGGGCGCCCCGGGCAGTGCGCCCTCAGGCACCAGCCCACAGAGACCCTGCACGTTGTAGTGCGGCGGCAGCGAGGCCTGGAGCTCCAGGCCCCACGCGTGGGGCGCCTCGGCTCCGGGCTTGGGCACCTGCGGACACAGGGCTGTGTCACACACCACGCATCCCAACCCGCACTGCCCACCCGACCAGGACTGAAGCAGGAGCTCTGTGTTGGTTTGGTGTGGGTCCCAGTGATGGCTTTGAGCAGTTTAAATGGTGGATGGGTGTGTGGGGAGTGGCACACGCCTGTAGTCCCAGCACTATCTAGGCTGAAGCAGGAAGATCGCTACAAGTTCGAGGCCAGCCTGGGCCACATAGTGAGTTCAAGGACAGCCTGTTAACAAGACCTGTGTCAAAAAGCAAAAAAGAAACAAGGGGGGGGGGTGGCGGTGGCCAGAGGTCAGACGGGGCAGTTCTCTACCCCTGGGTAAAGAGGGAGGTGTCAACTAAGGCCCCAGAGCTGGGCTGTCCATTAGAAACACAAGATGGGGCCTGGACTCGGGGTGCAAGCCTGTCATCCCAGCACCAGGAGGCTGAGGAAGGAGGGTCCCACGGAGCGCAAGGCCAGCCCTGACCACATGGGGAGAACCTGTTTCTAAAAATGACCAAAAGTAAAACAAAAAAAGGAAAGTTGTACTGTCCGGCCTGAGGCACACACATGTAATCCTAGCCCTGGGAGGCTGAGGCAGGAGGATCACTACGAGTTCGAGGGCATCCTGAACTACATAGTGAGACCCTGTCTCAAAAAAATTAAAATGGGGCCCTGGAGGTGCGGGCTTACCTTGGCGGCCAGCACGTGCCATGCGTCGTCGCCGGCGCGTACCACACGGTAGTAGAGCGCGTCCCCGCTCTCGGCACAGGGCGCCAGCTCCAGCAGGCGGAAGCCGTGGCCGGCGCTGCAGGGTCCTGGGAGGCTGCCCGTGAGCCGCGCCCCGAGCCGCGCGTGCACCACTCGGAGCCCCTGCAGCTCGCGGGCTGCCAGCGCTGCGTGCAAGGCCTCGGGGCTGTGTGGCTCCCCCGCAGTGGCGTCGGCGTCATCGTTGCCCGAGATCAGCTCAGCAGTGAGCCCAACAGGGCCCGCCCCGGCCTGGCTCTCGTCCACACTGTGGGATCCGAGGAGAGGCCTCCGGGGCTGTGCCGCGCGGGCGCTGGGGACCCCGCGAGTGGGCAGGGACTGTGTCCGGGTCAGGGTCTTCTTGGGCAGGGGCGGGGGCTGGGAGTTGGAGGAGAGGGACGCGGGGGTGCGGGACCGACAGGCCTTGGAGGGTAGCAGGTGGGCCCGGACCTCCCCTGTGCAGGAGATGCGGGGCTTGAGAATCTGCGGCGATGTGGCCCTTGTGACCACACCTCAGTCTCAGTCCCCACCTCTGTAACGGTAATAGTGCCCGGCACGGGGCTGCATGCCTGTCACCCTGGCGCTCTGGAAAGCCGAAGCAGGAGGATCATGGGTTTGAGCCCAGCTTGGATGACTTTTTTATGTGTTTGTTTTTGAGACAGTGTTTCGCTATGCAATTCAGGCTGGCCTCCAACTCACAGCAATCCTCCTGCCTCAGCCTCCCAAGTGCTGGGATTACAGACATGTACCACCACACCTGGCTTTCTGGACACCTTTTTGAGACCTTGTCTCAGAACAGAAATAAAAAGGCTGGAGCTGGAGTCAGTGCAAAGGCCCTGGGGTCCATCTCCAGTATCACATCAGAGCAAAAGAAAACCAGAAAGTGCTTGGTGTCCTTAGGTTAGGGGGCCGTCCCAACTTTGCAGACAGGGAAACTGAGGCTCCAGTGCAGTCAGGTAGAGAGAGTCATGCCATCCAGCTCCAAGGAAGCCCCATTTTCCTGCCTGGTTGTACAGGTGACTCCATTTTACAAGCCACTGCTCCCAGAACCTCCCCTCCCCTCCCTGGCTTGGCTACCGCCCACTCCTGCACACACACACACACACACACACACACACCCTTCCGGCCCAGCGCCCAGCCGGCTGCTCACCAAGGTTGCAGTAGGCAGGCGGAGCTGGCAGGCCTGGGTCACTGGGCTCGGGAGTCTCCGTGGGTGCCTCAGGGCTGCTCATGCTGTCGGTGGAAGGGGTACATATAGGGTGACCGTGTGCACAGCTGAGGGGGGCTGAGTGCTTCCTGGGGGCCTTGGGGGAGAGACCCACTATGCTGCCCGATGCCAGGGGCCTCGACGCCCTGACTCCAGCCCTCTTGCCCAGCCTTGGGTCTGCTGTGTGACCCTGGGTGAGCTTCTTGCCCTCTCTGACTCTTTTCCTTATCTATGAGACAGGCATATCACCCATCCATTCTTCAGGGCTGGGATGTTTGAGACGGGGACAGAACGGCCTGCCCACAGGATGGGGCGTTTGGGGGACAGCGGGAGATAGGCGAAAATGAACAGGAGCCATGCCTGAGCCTTGTCCCAGGGACCGGCCCACACAGGCAGCCCACCCTAAGCTGTGCTGTTACTGTGGGCTTCTAGTTCCCAGTTCCCTTCCCCCTACCCAACCTCAAAGAGTTGCTGCTTCTGAGCCGTTTCGGTGGCACACACCTGTCAGCCCAGCACCTTGGAGGCTGAGGCGGGAGGGCCTCAATTTTCTCTAGCCCAGCCTAAGCAACTTAGCAAGATCCTGTCTCAAAATAAATTTTAAAAAGGGCTGGGGATGGAGCTCAGTGAAAAGACCCTGGGTTTAATCTCCAGTAACTGAGAAAAGAAAGAAAGAAAGCTGGGTGTGGTGGCACACACCTGTAATCCCAGCGCTCAGGAGGCTGAGGCAGGAGGATCGTTGAGTTCGAGACCAGCCTGAGCTACAAAGTGAGCTCAAGGCCAATCTGAGCTGCATAGCGAGACCCTGTCTCAAAAAGACAAAAAAAAAAAAAAAAAAAAAGAAAGAAAGAAAGAAAGAAGGAAAGAAAGAAGGGAAGAAAGAAAGAAAAGAGCTGTTGCCTCTGCCCAGCTCCCTAGAGCCCCTACCTTCAGGCTGGAGGGACTCGGGGGACAAGATGAGTCCTGCGGCCCTGGCCTCCCCAGAATTGCTCTGGCTGGCAGCCCACAGGAAACATGGAGCAACTGTTAGGCCACAGGCTGGGCCCAGGGTGGGGCTGGGGCCCCTTCTGCATCATTTCCCCCTGTGGGGCTGTGAGGCAGCCAGGGCCCTGGTCCAGGGCTCAGCGTGCGGTGGGAAGGGCATCTCAGCAGAGGGAACAGCCTAGGCGAAGACTGGAGCCTGAAGTCAGCAGCCAAGGGTGCTGGGGAGGTGGGTGGTGAGACCACGCCGCCGGGCTGGGTGGGTGGCGGCAGGGACCCTGCAAGACTGGGAGCGGCCAGACCGAGCGGTCTGCCTGCCTTGGGTGCCCGTGGAGAGCTCCGGCCACAGCTCTTCCGGGAGAAATGAAACCAAGCAGCTTTTTCCTGTGGCTTTTCAGTTCCTGAGAACCGCTTTCCCTTCTGCAGGGCTGTCTCCGTTGCCCCCCTCCCGTCCCAGAGCCTTCATGTGTGACCAGACCAGCCGCCGTCCCCCTCTGTGTGCGGTGAGGAAAGACAGGGTCTCCTACATCTCATCTTGGACAACTGCACCTTCTGGATTTTGTTTTGTTTTGTTATTTGAGGCAGGGTCTCTCTATATAGCCCAGGCGGGCCTTGAACTCACTGCAGTCCTCCTGCCTCAACCGCCCAGTGCTGGAATTACAGGTGTGTGCCACCACACCCAGCTCTGACCCCTTGTTTTTGTAAATAAAGTTTTGTTGAAATCAGGGCCAAGGATCGGGCTCAGGCCAGTGGGGCAGAACCATATAAGAGCAGGGATCCTGTCTTTATTTAAAATGTTGAAGCCAGGCTTGGGGGCAGTGCACACCCTTCATCTCAGCCCTGTGGGAGGCTGAGGCAGGAGGATAGCAAGTTTGACTCCAGCCTGGGGAACTTTGACTTTGCTACAGCTTGTAGCAAAGAGCTTGGACACCAGGTTCCTGTCATTTTTCTATGCCTCAGTTTACCTATCTGTCAAATGGGGGTTGGATAAAGAAGCTTTAAAAATTTTTTTCTTTACAGTTATTGGGGATTGAACCTGGGGTCTTTGCACTGAGCTACATCCTCAGCCTTTTTTTATTTTGTATTTTGAGACAGGGGCTTGCTAAGTTGCCCAGGCTGGGTTGGAACTTGTGATCTTCCTGCCTCAGCTTCCCAGAATGCTGAGATGACAGATATATCCCATCATGGCCAGGAATAAAGCACTTTATTAATATTCCTTTAGAACTCAGGCCTCCCTGTCTCTTCCCAAGCAACCCTCAGAAGTGGGGCAACTTCCCCAGGCTGGAGGGAAGAGGTCAGAGTCTGCAGAGGCACCTGGAGGACCTGACTTCTTTTTTCCCCACCTGAGTTCACTGCAGGAATTTCTGCCTAGCTGCAGACTCAGGGGCTGATTCCTTCTGTCCTGTTTTTTGTTTGTTTGTTTTTTGTCTTTTTGAGACAGGGTCTCGCTCTGCCGTTCAGGCTGGACTTGAGCTCACTTTGTGGCCCAGGTTGGTCTTGAACTCTCAATGATCCTGCTGCCTCAGCCTCCCGAGTGCTGAGATTACAGGCATGTGCCACCATGCCCGGCTGTCCTGTTTTTTTGTTTGTTTGTTTTGTTTTTTGTTTATTGAGATAGGATCTCACTATATAGCCCAGGGTGGCCTTAAACTCACAATGATCTTCCTGCCTCTGTCTCCCGGTCGCCAGGGATTACAGGCCTGGACCACCATGCCTGACTCCTTCTGTCTTTCTGCTGTCCCTCGGTTCATCAGTAAAGTGGGACCCTAGGAGCTGGAGCCAGGTGGTTCCTTCCCAGGGATCCCTTCCCACTCCTACTCCTCCCACATGAATAATAAAAACAATCTGAAGTTTGTTATTAAATCAGTTTCAGTTTTATTGGATTCCAATCAAATACAGCGGGATGTGGAGAGGGAGGTGGGTGGAGGGGGTCTTGGTTTGGGTTGGGACTAGGGGAGAAGGGGCTGGGGAACCCCAGTACTGATGCTGTCACCCCCCAATGCTGCCAGAAATGTGCCCCTCCCCCCAGTCTTTGAGTGATGCTAAAGGCACTTGGATGTTGTTTGGAGGCCCTTGAGGTTGTCATGGCAACAGGGTCAGGAGGCCCTTGCAGTTGTCATGGCAACAGGGCCTGGAGGCCACTGAGGGACCAGAGTCTGTTCTGCCTGGCTGGGCTCCTGGGTGGAGTCTGGGGCCGCAGCTCTGCACCCCTCGCCCACACCCTGCAGGCCTCCACACACTGCGCAGGGCCAGGAGTCCCCACATCCCAGGCCACAGCCCAGCTGGGATCCTGCTGAGTCCTTTGCACAAAGCCAGCTTTTGATCTGGACAGTTTCGAGGGATCCAGGATGCACGCCAAGCCACGCAGCCGTCTGCAGGCCTGGGCCTGCAGCCGTGCTGGGGAAGAGGACAGGGGGTTCTGGGGGTCTCCAGTCACTGCCGGAGACCACACAGCGGGGCGGCAGGGGCCAGGGCCTGTTTAAAAATCTTCCACCCCCGTGGTCAGGGTCAATGGCCAAGCCCCGTTCTGCCTGAAATCCTGCCCCTCAGGGTTTCCTGTGCCTCTTCCCGCAACAGTGTCCTAGCTGTCGTCTTGCTGAGGTAGAGGGTGGGGCAGGAACCGAGTGAAGGCCCGGCTGGGGACGGCGCCTGTCTGCTGTCTCAGCGCTCTGCGCAAGCTCGGCTTCTGCTTGCGGAGCGCCGGTGCCCGGCAGCTCAAGGCCTGCAGACACCAGGCCGTGGTCCCGGGGGCCTTTCTTCCCCGGAGCTGCAGGGGGCCTGGGACTCGAACTCTAGTCCCAGATCCGCCCCCAGGTCGCAGAGACCAAGGTCCTCCGTCACTGTCTTTCAATGACTAGGGTCCAGGCGTCCCTGTTTCCCTGTCACACCCCTGCAGGACACATGGCAGGGACTCGGGAGGCACAGGCACCCCCAGCTGTCTGCACCCGCCCCATCCCCGCACGCGCAGCTCAGCGCGGGGCCATCTGAACTTGGCTGACTGGTTCCGCAGGCTGGAGGCTCAGAGGGACCCTGAGGCTGGGCAGCGGGAGGCTGGGGGTGCTGGGGTGCTAGGGACATGGCTTCTCCCAGTGGGTGCCCCGCTGGCCCAGGGGTCCTGGAGGAGGAAGGAAGGAAGGGGACAGGGCCGTGAGGGCCGTGACGAGGACCAGCAGTGTGCACTGCTGTGAACCGTGTGTGCACTGTGTGCGAGCTGAACGTGCCCTGGGTGTGAACTGTGCGCTTCTGGTATAAACTCCGTGTGTCCCCGGCATGGCTGAGTGCGCCTTGGGTGTAAACGGGGGTGTGTCCAGTGTGCGCCGGGTGTGTACTTGGTGCGAACTGAGTGTCCTAAGTGTGAATTTAGTGTGCCCTAGTTGTGAGCTGAGTGTGCCTTGGGCATGAGTGCAGCGACCTAGGTGTGGGCCCAGTGTGTCCGGTGTGAGATGAGCGTCCTGGGTGTGTGTGTGTGCAGTGCCCCGGGCGTGGGCCGCGCGCTCCTGTGCCCAGCTCCGCGGGCTGTGCGGCGTGCACCCCGCCGGGCAGCGCCTGGGCCCTGTGTGGGTCTGCTGCAATCTGGGTCTGAGCTACGGGGGTTCCAGTGTGAGCAGAGCAGACCTTCTGCGTGCCCTCCCCCGGGGCCGGGGTGCCCTCCGCACATCCCGGATGCCACTCTCTCCCCTGGAAGGGACAGCTGGGGGTGCAGTGGGCGGGGGCACTGTCACCCCCTGGAGTGAACTCTGAGCCCCGCAGCCCTGCAGAGCTGGTAGAAAGGAGCCCGGCCCCTCCCACCCCTCCATCCCCAGCCCGGCCCCGGCCCGCAGCGGGGCGGGGGCGGAAGACAGGTGGAACCTTTAGAAAAGTCTTGAGAAACTGCAAAAGATGCGCTCGGCAGAAAAACAGGCTGCAGCGGGGCGCCTACAAAAAGGGGGACTCCCGCGGGCAGCTGGCTCGTGGCCGCCCCCGTGCGGAGGATGCATAGGTGGAAGGCGGCGGGGCGCGGACGCGGAGACCCGCCCCGCTCAGATCATCTTCATGTTGAACTTGCGCGCGCCCCCCTGGCCCGCGGCGGCGGCGGGCCCGTCCACCTTGCGGAACGAGTACTCCACGGAGAAGTGGTTCTTGTGCTGCCCGCGGCCGCGGCTCCACACGAAGAGCAGCAGGAAGCAGAAGAGCACGACCCCCAGGAAGGTGATGCAGCCCATGGCCGTGGACACCAGGACCGTGGTGAGGTCCAGCGGGAAGCGCACGGCCGCCTGCGTCTCGTTGCGCGCGTCCCCCAGGGTCCGGTTGGCGGCGGGCTCCGGACGCACAGTCAGCGTGGCGAAGTAGGTGTCGTTGCCGCCGGCGTTGCTGGCCACGCACGTGTAGGTGCCACTGTCCTGCGGCCGCGCGTCCAGGATCTCCAGCGTGCCCCCCGGCAGCACGCGCGCGCGGCCCGCGCTGGCG